CGCGGTAGTGGTAGTAGTATGGACTCGTAACTGGCAAAAGCTGCATGAGTCACCGGCCCTGACCAGTTGGCGGGGCTCGGGGGTCCCGGTGGTCGGGGCTCCAGGACTCGCCAGTTGGCGCGAGGCCGTGCCCCCCCGGGTCGGCGAGGGTAGCTGCGCGTCAGACGGGACCCGGTTGGGTTCCAAACCCCCGGGAGGAACTGGCCAGTTGGCGCTATGCGAGGGGCTGGGGCCCGGCCTTGTCAGTTGGCAGGGCTCCGGGACTCGCCAGTTGGCGGGGCTCCGTGGCGGGGGCCCCAGGTCGGGGTCGGGGCGCCAGGATTCGCCAGTTGGCGGGGATTCATGGGATGGGGCCCTGAGGGGCACGGGGCTCGGGGCTCCGGGATCATGTGGCCCGTCCTCGGTGGCCTCCTGCACCCGGCGGCGGTGACCCTGCCGCAGGGCCTTGCCGACTATCCTCTTCTTGCGGTTCCGCGCCACCGCGTACCGCCGCCACGCGGCCGGGGTGTGGAAGCGGGTGTATTCCCGGCGGAGCCTGCGTGCCCGCTTCACTGCCTCCTTGCAGTCGTCGTCAAAATCGGGGTTGGACCAACCGCAGGGGTTCGCCCACGGGGTGGACGCGTCGATGGCGGTCCGTACCGTGGCCATGAAAGCCGCGGTTTCGAGCTCGATCCGGTGTTTCAGAGCCTCCCCGTGGCCGCTTGCCGCGTTCGGAGGAGCTGTGGCTAGGGACCCGTCGGGATTCCGCGCCACGCTCGGCGGGAGGGGGCCGCTGGGTATCGGTCTGACCACGAGGTGCTTGGTTAGGGTCTCCCGCAGGAGCTTGTCGTCGGTGGCTTTCCAGTTGCGGCGTTTCGGCCAAGTGGGCGCGGCAGCGGGAGGGCGCCTACGAGCAGGGGGTCACCCCCCCGCTCCGCGGCCCGGACAGAACCCTGGCGGAGACCCCGGCGGAGAAAGCCAAGCTCTACCAGGGCGCGTTCTTCCCGGAGCCCCCGCCGGCGGACCTGTCGGATATCGGCACCGAGCCGTATCCCGCGCCCATAGAGTTCCCGCCCATTACACGCCACGAAATCGTCGCCGCGGTCACCTCCGCGGCGGCGGATAAAGCCCCAGGGGACGACGGTATCCCCAATAGCCTGTGGCACAGGAT